GTTCGGATCCCATATAGGAATGGCAGGTTGCTCACTGGGTGAGCGTGGTGCTGACAACACCAAGTCAAGGGTTGAGATCCCCTTACCGGTCATCTTTTAAAAAAAAATAATAAAATAAAATAAAGCATTTAGGGGCCGGCCTGTGGCTCACTCGGGAAAGTGCGGTGCTGATAACACCAAGGCCACGGGTTCGGATCCCATATAGGGATGGCCGGTTGCTCACTGGGTGAGCGTGGTGCTGACAACACCAAGTCAAGGGTTGAGATCCCCTTACCGGTCATCTTTTAAAAAAAAATAATAAAATAAAATAAAGCATTTAGGGGCCGGCCTGTGGCTCACTCGGGAAAGTGCGGTGCTGATAACACCAAGGCCACGGGTTCGGATCCCATATAGGGATGGCCGGTTGCTCACTGGGTGAGCGTGGTGCTGACAACACCAAGTCAAGGGTTGAGATCCCCTTACCGGTCATCTTTTAAAAAAAAATAATAAAATAAAATAAAGCATTTATTAAATAAATAAATAAAATCATCTCTAGACTACATGTTGAGTTCTGGGTGACATCTTTTAAAAAGAGACATTGACAAACCAGACATGTGTCCAACTGAGAGGACCCAAAAGCTGAGAGATGTTTGTTTCCAATTCTATACTCATATATAGGTGGTATAGAAATAAAAATAGTTCAGGGATGCATTTTAAAAGTCAGTCCAGGGCCGGCCCGGTGGCGCACTCGGTAGAGTGTGGCACTTGGGAGCGCAGCGGCGCTCCCACCGAGGGTTCGGGTCCCATATAGAGACCAGTCCGCTCACTGGTTGAGCGTGGTGCGGGCGTGACACCGAGGGTTGCGATCCCGTTGCCGGTCACGAAAAAAGAAAAAAAGGGAAAAAAAAAAAAGTCAGTCCATAATTATTCTCTAATGGGTAATGAAACAGGATGAAGCAAGTATTAAATGACTAGAATGATTAGCATTTATTGGATGTTAACTAAGTGCCCATCAGGAGATCCATTGAGGTTCAACTAAAAGAGTCTCACAGGACTCACTCGGGCCATACTCAGCATCAGATGCACATGGAAGGACGCTGGTGAGAACCACAGCTTGCCAACAGAGCGGTGTCCAGTGTTCCTTTCACATAGGAGTAGAGCTCCCCACTGCCTGGTAGCAATACATACATCTGTCAAGGAGCTATTATCCAAGGGATAAGGAAGTGAGAGCCACACTGGGCAGGTCCAGAAACTGCCCTCGATTATAAGGCTCATACCCCCAGGAGCCAATATCCCTCACAGCAACTTCAAAAGCAAAGCTTCAAGGGTCCCTGCAAGAGACCTGTCCAATTATAAGATATTGCCTTCAGGGAAGACTGAAGTTATGTCTTTCCATCAAGTATTTATAACTCCCAAGCCAGATGTATGCTACTTAGGAAGGGTCATTTTTACCATGCGATGTTGCCTGGTAACATGGGTGACATACTCCCTTTATTAGGTTTCCAGGAAAACAGAATTGGAAAGTTAAAAAAAAGGTCAAATGCTCATGCAAAAGGGGAAAGAGTTTTGTTAACCCTTTACCCATGGTTAGCACTATGGTTAAAATGAACTAATTTGCCAACAACTTACATTGAATATTCAACTTAAGTTGACTACTCCTCCAATTTATGCTATTGTGATTATTCTCATTTTACAGATGAGGAAACTGAGACACAGAGAAACTGAGTAATTCGTCCAAGATTTACATAGCTAGTAAATGTTAGAGATGAGACCTACACCCAGGCACTATGGCCCTGGAGCCTGACTCTCTAATGCTATGTCCTAAAATTTTCTTTATGTTTAGTGTATCCTGGATAACCTAAACAATGTTACCAGAGCTATCTCCTTACTGACTCTCCACATGCAAACTCAAACTTTTGTTTTTGTTTGTTTTTTAATAACTATGAAATACCGTCCAGTTCCAAAAGTCCCAAGGAAATTCAGAACATAATGGAGCTACACAAACTAGAAAGCATGTGCATATCTAAGTAGCATGAGGCTTAAGGTCATGTTTTGAGGGTGGGACAGACCTGGGTTGTGGAACTGTGATCTTACATGCTATGTAAATTACATGCTAAATTGTTACAAATAACTTCTCTAAGTTTCCATGTCCTAATATATAAAAGTGGGAGTAATAAAATACCACTTCATGGCGTTGTTATGATAATCATATGAATTTATTTAGGAATGCTTAGCACAGTGTCTGGCACATACAAAATCTTCAATACGTTGGGTAAAGGGCATAAAGAAAAATCATGATTTGTAATAATGAATATGCTAATAATAAATAATAAAAAAATTGTAAAAAGCTAAAAAAAAATCTTCAATAAATTTTAATTCATCATTATCATCACACATCATTCATTCCACAAATGTTGATTGCTATTTACCAGGTTCAGTCCTAGGCATAATGCATTCAAAAAGCATCCTAATATGTCATATTTCACATCTTCACAGTCTGTCTCCGAGGCACAAAAGTTCACAAGAAATGCTACCTTGCTTCAGAAGGCTTGAAGCATTTCCATGAAGCCAATGAAGACTGCATTTCCAAGGGAGGGACCCTGGTTATCCCCAGGAACACTGACGAAATCAACGCCCTCCGAGACTATGGTAAAAGCAGCCTGCCAGGTGTCAACGACTTTTGGCTGGGCCTCAATGACATGGTCACTGAAGGCAAGTTTGTTGATGTCAATGGAGTTGCCATCTCCTTCCTCAACTGGGACCGTGCACAGCCTAATGGTGGCAAGCGGGAAAACTGTGTCCTGTTCTCCCAATCAGCCCAGGGCAAGTGGAGTGATGAGGTCTGTCGCAGCAGCAAGAGGTATATATGCGAGTTTACCATCCCCTAATAGGCCCTTCTCAAATGTATCTTCCAAGTTAGATCAGTCATGATGGTCCCCAAGAATAAGATGTATTAGTCCGTTTATGTTGCTTATAACAAAATACCTGAAACTGGGTGATTTATAAAGAAAATGAAATTTATTGCTTACAGTTTCTGAGGCTGGGAAGTCCAAAGTCCATCTGGGGGTGGCGACAGTGACCCAGGGGTCTCACATTGCAAGATGGTGGAAGCAGAGAGAACAGAGAGAGTAAGAGACAGACAGACTCTCCTCTTCTTTTAAAGCCCTCAGAACCGCACCCCTGACCACCATTTTTAATCCATTCTCTACTGCACGGTCCTACAATCCAATCACTTCTTCAAGGACCCACCTTTCAGTTACCTTAATAGGATTTCCCACCCTCTTAACAGTCTTGGTGGGAGCTAAGTTTCCAAAACATAAAACTTGGGGAACACAATTCAAGCTTCAGTGAGTTTTGGGGGGACATAATTCAATCCACTACCTAAGAATACTTCAAAATTGTAATAATTAATTGCAAAATTGCAACACAGGAGTCAATGTCTATAGCAATACAATAGTCAGCCAGTTTTGCTACCACATTTCAATGCCTCCATGGAGTATAGAGGATCAGAAGGTCACCATCCAGACATGTGCATGCTGTGAAAGTGGCTTCTGCAAAATGGGCTATCAGATCCTTCTCTCTCTTTCCTATTTTCTCTCACGTATATAGACCTGGTATGTTTTAAAAATACAATAGGCTGGCCAGTTGGGTCAGTTGGTTAGAGCACTGCCTAGTAACACCAATGTCATAGGTTCTGATCCCTGTACTGGCCAGCTTCTCCCCCCCCCCCCAAAAAAAATAGCCATGCATCTCTTCAGAAGATTTTCTCTTGAAAGTTTATTTAATTGATGAGAATTCCCTAAATCAGAGATTCCAAGTGCTACCTATAAAATCCAAAAACTTTTCAGTCTGATACTCAGTCTGGTCCATCCTGGGAATAATACCTTGCTAGCTCATTATGCTTTCTTTGAGTTGCTGCATCTCCTGGTGGGACTTGTCTCTTGTTTGCCATATCAGGACGTGAACGTCTGAAGAGGTTCCAATTAAACTCTGTTTTCCTCAAACCCCATCCCCTTTTTTTGGAAGTTCCCAGTCAAGCCGCAAAAGGAAATGACAAGGCAGTCTATTTGATCAATTTCCATTCCCAGCCTTACACTACAACTTTCCACTTGAGTAGATAACCCTAAAGCAGAACAACAGCAGCATGCTGTGCGGGAAAAGAAAATAGAAAAAAAAAAGTCTACTTTTCCTTTGCTTTAGCACCCTTACTCTCTCCCTTTATGAAATTGAGGGCGAACATTATATATGTTAATAACCTTTTTTAACATCCTTATATACTTGTATATTATTTTAACCATTATGGTCTATTAGGGGCAACCTATCTTTAGAAATTGAAAACTGGATTTAAATATACTATTTGGGAAGTCATGTGTTTATGTGATTTTTTTATTCTGCCAAATGCTATTACCATTAAAATTTTTAACTAGATTGTATAAAATAATTTCATTGCTTAATATGAAATTTAAAAGTTTAGGCTTGGGGAAAATGGGCTTTTTAGAAGCAAACAATTCTAAATATATTCTGTTCTCCAAATACATTTTTTTCCCCAAATGTTGACTGTGTTTTGTAAACAGTATTCTGCTTTGCAAACTTTAACTCCACATGCTTAGAATTGAGTTTTAGCTCTTGTAATTGCATGTAATAAAGTCTGAATTCTGATCAATGTGGATGAGTTTGGGTGTTGATTACAGTAATTCAAACTATGTTGATTTATATCAACCTTGGCAGAATTTGGGGGTGGGGGATACTCTGAATTTGATCAAACTGGTGATTTGGATGTACTCAGAGAATACTTTTACCTGGCAATCAAGAGGTATGTATAGTCTGGGAGGGAGAAGGGGAACTTTTAAAAAAAAATGTAGCTGCTATTGTATTTGGTTGGCCTTGGCCAAGTCCCTGTGTTACAGGGGACACTAAGCTCCTGGCTGAGTCTCCCCAAATTTGATATGAAACTCACAGGTCCTGCCACCTGCCCCCAGACAAAAGAAAACACCCAAAAGTCAAATGTTGGTGAACATGGAAGTCAGCTTTTATTGAGGAATATCAGTGAACTGAGGAGAGATGTCAGGCTAACCCATCTCTCTAGTAAACCTGCAGGGGAATGGCCAGGCTAAAGCCATCTCAAAGACTTTGGTTTACTGAGAGATTTTTAAAGAGAGGTAGAGGGAATAGAACATGGGAAAATGAAAAGCAGGAGGGAGGGAGACGTGAGCAGCAAGGGCTTCATGAAAGGTCTCACGTGCAAGGCCTCATCAAAACTTCATTTCTGCTCCTGTCCTTATCTCAGGGTCTGGGTAGTACATGCAAGCAGCAGCTCCAGGCTGGCTGGAAAACAACTTTGCATTCATGTAAATAATGTCATCTTGCCCCATAACCAAGGTTCAAAATATCGAATAACCATTGGAAAAGACGAAATTCAGAAAAATGCATGCCAAGGAAAGAAACTGCCTTTTTAAAATCTTTTAGAGCTTATGTAGATTTAGGTCCCAACATGGCTTCAGTCCTGGTCACTCCAGCACCTACTCCAACATAACCATAGTCTTCTTAAAGATAGTGATGATAATAAAATAAGCAGACATTAATGAGTAGTCCATTCTCATCACATTCCAGGTACGGTGCTAAATTTTATATAATTCTCATTTATCTTCAGAGCAGCCCTAAGAATTAGGCTCTATAATTATTTCATATTACAGAAGAAAAAATGGAGAAAGAGAGGTAGTAAATTGCCCTAAGTCACATACCAGGAAGTAGTGGAATTGTGACTTGGAAGCCAACAAATTGATGCAGATCCTACATCCTCAGCAACGTGGGGAAGCTGTGACAGATGACGCCTGTTCAGGCAGGCTGTGAGAGTGGATTCCAATCCATGTTCTCAATTTTCTCACCTGGAGAACAATTCAGGCAAACAGCTGACCTTGTGACCTTGAGAAGGCCTTCAGTCTGAGGCTGCTTCATAGAGGAAGAAAATATATATATATATATATACACATACACACACACACACACACACACACACACACACACATATATCCATGCATCTCTTTAGTCCAGAAAAGCAAGTTTAGGCTAACCGGAAGATTTTCAGCCCTTTGTAAGGGCTAAATAAAGACAACCAATGTTCACAGAAATTGATGTCAGAGCTTGGGTTCCCAGAAAATGGGGATAGATAAAATCATCCTTCCCAAAGCCCCTGGACCAGAAAGAGCAAGAGAAGTTAAAATGGATGTATATTTTGCAAATATTTTCTCCTACTCTGTTGGTTGTCTTTTAACTCTGTTGCTGTGCAGGCCACAATAATCAACCACATTGTACATTGACAAAATAAAATAAAATGTTAACAAAAAAAAAGAAGTTAAAATGGAGTTAATTCAAAGGAATAGACGAAGGTTAGTAAGGGGAAATCAAGATTAGTTAGCAAGACAAAGGGTGGATTACAGAAACAGAGCAAGACTGGAAGGAGTGAATTAAGAGATCAACTGACTTGACCCAGGCCAAACTCATTACCTTTGACCTTATCACTTAGCCAAGGAATTACCCAAAAGCCACACCCACAAGATTCACTGACTAGATTTCTCTTTGGTCTATTCTATTGGGCTCTATCAAGCAAACAACAATTGGTCTTCAGGCAGGAATGATAAATGGGTCTAACTCTCAGGCAAACTCTTATGTCTCAGTGAAAGCTGCCTGGGCTACTGCGTGGAAAAACATCCTGACGCTTGTTGGAAAGAGTGCCACAAGCAGTTAGCAATGTTTCTCATAGTTCACAGTAGGATGTCAACATTTGTATCACTTAAGTGTCATCCCCAGGGCAAATGCTGGCTTTCTGCAAATGTCAGTTATATTCAAAACCCAAGGGCCGGCCTGTGGCTCACTCGGTAGAGTGCGGTGCTGATAACACCAAGGCCACGGGTTCGGATCCCATATAGGAATGGCCTGTTCGCTCATTGGCTGAGCATGGTGCTGACAACACCAAGTCGAGGGTTAAGATCCCCTTACCAGTCATCTTTAAAAAAAAAAAAAAAAAAAAAAAAAAACCCAAACAGTCAAGGCCCAGCAAGCCGTACCAGAAAGCTGTCTCTAATCTACAGAGCAGCGCTTCTCAAACTTTTGCTGCTTACAAATCACCTGGGGACCTTGTTAAATTGCATATCCCCGTAGGTCTGAGCCGAGTCAGGAGATTCTGCATTTCACATGAGCTTTCAGTGGCTGCCAACAGTCTGGACCATGGACCACAGTTCAAGTAGCAAAGTTCTAAATCTTTGGCTACTTGCCCAGATATAGTCTCAGATGATCCCAGCAGTTTTGTATTCCTTTAGCACAAAAGTCAAGGGTAGGATCTACAGTTCATCTGAGTGAAGAATAGTACAGAGAGCAATTTTCCTATCTACCACAGATGCTTCCGTCCACATTATAAAGTGAGGTATAAAGTAAAAATCAATTAGTTAAAAGAAACACCAGTAAGAGACTAAAATTGACTTATTGCAAGGCTCAGTGGCTCCCTTTTCTTCTCTAGCATTGCCGAACAGCATTTCTCATACAAAAATGAAGAAAGATACAAAGGCTTTCTTGCTCTCAGATTAGTGAAAACTTTTATATCATTACCCAGAAAGGCACATCTAACAAACGAAACCCACAAAATTTAGTCTTGGCATACAATAAATAACATTTTCTAATTTTAGCTAAGTATGTTATTTAATCTGATGCAAGAAATTCAAAAGGTATCTACTAACTGTAAAGGACTGTGCTAGGTAACATGGAGAGACAGAGAAAGTAAGCCCACAGGAGGAGAGCAAGTCTACTGGGATCTGTGGAGACAGTATTAGCAGTTCTCATTACATATAGAAATTAAGTGGATTTACAGATTATTGTTATCTAGTTTTTCCTAAAC